TTTCTGTTTGTTCTTTGTAAAAAACAATATTTTCATTATTAAACATCTGGTTGACCTTAAACAGCATGGTGGCATCTTAAATCATGCACATAGACTGTAAAACGTTTGGGGGCTCATCCAGGATATGAAGCTCTTGTGCCCAAAGCAAGATTCACGGCTGCCAGTAGCTCCCAGATCAACTTATAATGAATAAACAGAAATGCAACAGCAGCAGAAAGATAACGCCAGTACTGATGAATGACTGCCTACTCTGCAACCAATCAGCTCTAAGAATAAATCTGAGAGGAAAGCGAGAGAAGTGGTGCAAGCAGCAGAGGAATTAATTGGAATTTAAATCGGAGCTTAATTATAGTTGACACTTTTCGATAGCTTGTTCAGCCCCGTACTTTGTCTCTGATGTAATCCTTTTTAATCCTAACTTAATGAATGATTGTGTTAGATAACAATGCGGCTGTAGCTGTGAGTGTACATGACTTCAAAGTGAGAAAGGGAAACCTTGGGGTGCCAGCTGGTCTCAGAATCAATTGGTTTGACCCGGCAGACAACGATCTCTACGGCCTGTCCAGGCAGAGAGTGAAACTGCTCCGGCAGCTCGAGGATCTGATAGGATTTCACCTCCTCCTCCTTTCCCATGTCAATGAAGCAAGCAACTACGCTGAAAAACAGCCGGCCGCCTCTGTCGGGCACAGAGAGGAGCTTCACCCTGATAGAAAACAGACAGGAGTCGACTTACAGTGATGAACTCGCAGTCCCAGAGTGTGAGGCTGAAATCATCGCCACCCAACGGTGGTGTTTAGATTTGATTTGTCAGACCTGTGGAAGACATCGTCCTCCTGCACAGCGTACAGTCCTCCTTCCAACAGCTTCTTGGCTCCAAGCTTCTTCTCTGCGTAGTACGAAGCCATCTCAGAGGCCATTTTCTCAAAGCCCCCGTCCTCCTCCTCAACGATACGGCCGTAGAAGGTTGACGCTGTCTTTATGTAGAGCGGTACAACCTCGGATACACAGAGTCACATCCACTGTTTGTGTTGTTTTAAGTACAATCAGTGATCGTTAAACAAATATCAGGGTTTCATCCAAGAACTCCACTACTGAGCCAATGTAATATCCTGACAGCTGCACCATGATTCACAACATCACTCTGAGAACAGAAGCTTCATCCTCACTTCTATGACTCCAGATGCCGGCAGTTTGGACTGATCCAGCTGTGAGACGACGCGGTGGCGTTCAGGACAAATGCCATTGTTTCTGCAGGGGAAAGCACACAGAATAACATACAAGTCATTTTCTCTTTACTGACTGAAACTCATGATGTTATAGACAACGCAAGCAACAATATGGCTAATT